AGTTGGTAATGAAAATTTTGTTTACCTGAGTAAAAAGGTCCGCCAAACATGTTAAAAGGTTCTCCTCAACATCTCCCAGATTCTTGTTATTTGAATAATAATATAGTAATTGCTCTCGAAAAGGAATGCAAAAATAAAGAGCCTGCATGTGGCATAATAAAGAATTAAAATACAGATTTATCTGTTACAAAACAAAGAAATTTGAAAAAAAAACACCCATTTAGACAATGCATCAGACAGGACATACATATCCATCCAAAGTTCCTTTCAGCAATAACACATGCCCAATGATTTTAAACCAAAATGTTAAAGGATGATGGGATGATAGTGAAAATAACTATGTTGCAAGTTAACTCTGATGTAATTGATAAGGAAAACCTTAAGGGAGAAAATTTATAATAAAAAAAATGATTTACAACTTAAGGTAACATAACAATCTTCTATTATGTTAGGCTGAAACGTTCATCTGTATTCATGTCATCTATGAACATACAAAATGTGAAAATAGTTAAACAGGACTTTGAGACATTGGTGCGAAAGCACAAGTGCAACTAAACTGAAGATGAGACAGACAACTTTCACTATGGTCGACCTAGAACCCTGACTTGAAGCTAGATGTCCGAATATTTAATACAACAGAGATGAGAATGTCAACAAATATACTAGAGGAATATAGAATAATATTTTCCAAAAACTTTTATGATATCCTTAGCAGACAAGTCAAGAGATCTATATCATAAACTATTCATTATATTTCCAACATATTCTGTATGTCATATTCAACTTACCATTGGCTTTAACTTGATTTCAATTAACAATTAAATTAGGTACTGGTTAAATCCAATGATTGGACCAATTTTATTAACCCATCAATGGTTTTTCAAGAGAAGTGAGTTCTCTTTTTCTTTGTCCTGCATATCGACAGATTTACTGTGCCAGAAGACTAATGAAAAGCCATTAGCTAACACTTCTTTTCCCTGTCAGAAACTGTTTAACAATTCAAAAGCAAAAGAGTTTCTCATGCAATAAGTTTCTTTCTTGTTTATCAATGTTGTTCATACAAAATGGTAATTCAATGAGAGTCATAGGTTTATAAGCACAAAAGGAGTATTACAAATAATTCAAACGAGCATATTTAAGTCGCTTACTTCAGCCAAGAACAATTCTTTTTTGAAACATTATACCGCATAACCAAAAAAAGAAAAGAGAAGAAGAGGAACAGAACAAATACAACCGAGAGCACTAACATACCGATATAGAAGCGCATTAAATCTATGTTAACAAATGAAAATATAAATATTTTGTCTCAGATAAGAACCACCAAATTAATAGTCACGAGTATATGAATTAGGAACAAGAAAAGAAGTAACCCTTCATTTTAAGAAGAACGCGCCTTTGATTTAACACGACTACGAGCTACGAGATTCCAATCAAGCTCCTGCATCCAATTAACAAAGGAAACGGAGAGGAAATGACCTGCAAGACGCTATTGCAGTAGCAGGTGTTGCCGAAATTCTCGAGACCGAAATAATGCTCGCCTTCCGGGAACTGGTCGCCGAGGGCCTTCTCTAGCTTGGAGCCGGCGGCCCCCATGACCATCCACTTGTCCCACCAGCCGCCGGCGACCCCGGTGAAATATCGGAACCCTAGCCCTAGACCGGAGCGCGACCTCTCCGGCCCTCTCTCGGCCGCCGTTCCGCTGGCCTCCGTCACCGAAGGGGTCTCCACCGTGATAGATAGCTGGAAGGATCGGGCTCCCAAGGTTTGAGGCAGGATTCCGATGGCGAAGGGTAAGTCGAATTCCACGAATTCGCGAGGGATTGGCGAAGGGTATGATCGAAGTAGAGAGACCGGAAGGTTAACCGCTATTGATCTGCGTGGTTTTCTCCTTTTTCCTTTTTCCTTTTAAACAAAATTACATATATATCCCTCTAATATTGGTTATGTTTTATAAATCTAAATACTGTAGTTAATTTCTGTTAGTTAAGTTAATTAATTAATTTAGGTTTATAATATAAGAAGACCTAATGCCATAATATATCTTTCTTATATTACTTTAACTTAAGCAAGCCAATTTATATTTTTATATCCATCATAAATTGCAAGGATAAATACGTAAAATTATTTTCCGTCTTTTTTTATCTTTTTCCTTTTTTTCCCCTTCTGTTTCTTGGTTGTCGTACCAGAAGAAGGGAATTTATTAGTTATCGAAAGTTCACCCACTTGGCTACCTGCTCTCTTATTGATACCACTGAGGGACCCGCGGTCAACTTATTACCAGAACGTAGAGGAGATGACGTGTTTTCTGGTTCTTCGCTGATCCAATCATTCTAGTTAGCATGACTAAGGATAAATATAGACATGTTAAATTAACATGATAATATCACACCAAATAAAATCGATGCAATTTAATATGCTATATAAATCAATATATATTTATATTATTTGTTTTCATGATCCACGTTGAAACTTCGAAATGACTGTTATATTAAGGTATTTAATGTGAGGCGGCGATAAGAAAATGGTTGCTGACCTCTCTCCCTCGCCTTCTTCCTTTGTCTGATATAGACAGATAGATACGATCAAGAAATAATCTTTCTTTATTTTATATGTAATAATCCAAAAGATGAGAGAGGTGTTGCTTTAGAATTCCACAACGCAATTGTTTGTAGAAAAGAATATAGATGAAGCGATGAAGAACAGACAAAAGTCCTACATAGAACTTCTCATAGCTAATTTTGTCCTCTCGGTTGGATTGCTTTCTTTTTGTGCAAAATTGGTGAAGTCACAGACAGATAATTCAGTAAGCATCTCTGGAAATTGAACCTGTAATAAATATGTCTTTGATAGATGAAGCATGATTTTATCATTTCTTTAGTGGAGGGTTCGATGCACCCTCAGTGGATCAAGATAATATAATCGAAATAAGGATGAGGATAAAAAGAAGTAAAAATTTGCATCTTTGGTAATTTCACAAGTAAAAGTTTGCCAGGAAAGGTTATAATGTGTATACAGTGCTCAACATTGAACTCATTACTGGATTTTTTTTCTTTTATTTTCACATCCTTTGTCATTATGGTCTTAGATGCGCTTTGGATAAGATTAAGTATGTAAAGATAAAAGATTTTAAATTGAGGAAGATGACAGAGATAAATTAAGATGATAGTCTTACATATTAAAAAATTTAAATTATATATATTAGATTTGATTTACAACCTACAAATTAATTGAATTTGATTCAGATTTTCATCATTTGATTTCTTATACTAGTGGTTATGGGTCTACAATATTATCTAATCTTATTACTATTTGTAATTTATTAGAAATTAGTGTCATGTTCAACCAATAGTGTGCAAAACAATCATAATAAAAAACATTAATAGTTTGGCAATTTCAAATGCCATGATGAATGATTTGAGGGAGACCAATTTACTTGAGTCTTTTTAAGTTTTGTGAGTCTTTTATGATGAATGATTTTGAGAGAAAGGTATAAAGAAAAATATTTTGGGTGTTTTAGGTATTTCTTAGTGAAGTGAGAGAGTTAGAATAAGAATTTTTTTATATTTATGTGAGAGAGTGTAAATGTTTTCTGGTTTGGGTTTGAAATAACTTAAAAGAGATATTTTTTGTATTATTTTTTTATATAATAAAATTTTAAAATATTTTCATAGATACAGACAACAAGCAATCTCGAACCACATTAATATTATCTTTACTTTCTAGTATATTTCGTTGATTGTTAATCTTTCAAATTTCTTTTTTGTTTTGACTCTTCTCTCAATTCCCAATAATAAGTTACACCATATAAACAATTTTGCATTCGGATTCAATATTATTATTTTCTTTTGAAATTTTTTTTAACTAATCTATATGGGATTCAGGTTCGATGATTCATCGATTTGATATCATCTTTCGGAGAAAAATTTGGACAGAGAAAAAAGCTATCACTAAATAAATAGGCACCAAACTAAACGAAAACAATATTTATTGCTTATAAACATAAACGCAAGGCTAAAAGCAATGAAAATAAAAAAAAATTGTAAAGAGACTAATAAGCATGTGAAATATAGATTATTTTTGGACAACACTTGGATATTCTTGATAAATTATATTTCATTGTTAATTTTTTATCTTCTCCTTCTCTCTCATCACTAAAACTTTATCCAGGTTGAGACAATAAACATCAAAGCTTTGGGGGTTTCTCATAACTCGTAGCTTATATGGAGCTTTGACGGTTAGAAATCGAGGAAGAAGGCTAGGGCTAGCTTATATTTTCTCTTTTCTCATACTAGAATAGCTAAGGTCGATTGAATTCTTGTTAAAGACTTCTTCAATTTCTTTTACATGAGAGCACACCTTTTCTTATAAGGCTATCACATTCCTATGTTTGGTAGTTATCTTTATTTTTATGAGGACTATTGTAATCTGAGCCCTATTAGAATATGAATTAAGGTAAGTACACTATCCTATTTTAGGTTTGGTCTCACTAAATATAATTTCGATTCTTCAACATATCCTCGAATAGAAAATAATAAACCTAGTTAAATAGAATTGTGATCCTATCTTATTATTAACCGGAGAACACAAACAAAAAGATAAACTATATTAGTTTCAATAGACTCTCTTTTTATTAACTCAATTATATTCTTATTTGAAAAAAAAAAACTGATTATTTTATACCATAATTAAAAAGTGAATCATAAAGGTTTCCCTCCTCCTGAAAATATGAAGTTGGTCCATATTTTGCTACAGCTCATGGTTGGTGCAAAATAATTCTTGAGCCTGCACTGCACATGGAAATTGGACATTCCAACAAAAGTCACGACAAAGAGTAGACTCACTTTGATGTTTTGCCATTGATATGACAGGTCAACTTTGATTGAGAAATTGGATGTGCTCCAATATAGTCACAACACACAGAGATTCTCATTTTCCTTATTTTGCTGATGATGTGATAGCTCATAGAGGTCAACTTTGACATGGAGATTGGATGAGTTCCATTAAAAGTCAACACATAGGATCTTCAATTTGCACTTTTGCTATTGAATCATCACTACCTTCTTTTCCAGTGCCAATCCATCCATGTTGATTCATTAATGTGAGAGTCAACATTTGATGTATGAATATGAGAACTTACAAAGCAAAGAAAGCCAGCTTAAGGCCTGAAACCATACACTGTCTTGTGTTAAAAGAACTCATGGTAGCTTTGTGTGAAAGCATCTACCATACATTTAGTGTTGCTGCAGCCAGGAGGATGTCCTCCTCGCTCCCAAAACGCTCGCTACTCCTGCAAGCACACCCCTCCATGGCCGGCCTCCGGCCACTCCTCTGCTTGTTGCTCAGTGATTTCACAGCTTCGACCTTCATCTCCACCGATAAGCAGGGTGGTTTGAGCCCATAAAACTCAGAACTCAATGAGGCGAACCTGACGCATCTCTTCAATGACATGTCCGGCGAGGCCAACACCTCCTTCCATGCGACCTCGGCCATTCCCAGGAGCTTAGACCCCGTGAATCTTCCAAGAAGTGGGATCCTCCTGCTCCTCCGTCGTAGCTCAAACACCACTGTGTGTGGCTCGAGTAGCTCTCTTACCGGGTCTGACGCTCCCTGGCACTCGATGGTTGCGAGCTCATCCCAGCATGGGCTGCCGGTGGGAACGACCTCCTTTGTGTCGATGCGAATTCTTCTCCCGTGACCCGCGAATACGTAGTATCTGATGAACGGGTTGCCTGGAAGATCGAGGTCGAAGTTTGAGAGTCTGCCAACTCTTATCTCACATCTGAGATGAGAGGTCTCACTGCACTTAGACATGATGAAGTGAACGGAGCGACAGGGAAGGTAGAAGAAACAAGGAAGAGCCTGAACTGGGTATAGATAGGAATTCTGAGCAAGGCCTGCTGCTTATATAGCGGTAGGCTTGTGTGATAATGGTTGTTTCCTATGAATCCTAACCTGTGAACACTGCAGCAGATGGCCAATTACAGTGCAGTACTCTTTGGATGAACAAAGAGCCAAAGGCCATATGAGAAGGGGTCATAAGGAAGTGTTGTTCTCTTAGAGATAACGTTCAGAGTGGTGGGTTTCTCGCTTCCATGTAAGTGGTCAAAAGATCCTGACTCGAGGAGATACATACGAACGTTTACAATGCTTCTCCACTGAACTCAAAGTGCGGCATGGCAACATCTGCTGCTCATTGGCCTTCACAATTGACTTGGATGGCTCAGCAACACTTGTGTTGACACTCATTTCAGAAACCTTATTTGTTTACTACTTTTATAGCTGTCTTGAAATTATCTTTTATTTGAGTATCCTAATGATTGTGATCTCTCATGGAAATATCAGTTCCCTAAACTAAGGTATAGAGTTGAGGCTTTCAACATGTTGGATTTAGATGTGAGGGAAATGGATGATATATCTATCTTAAATGGAGCAGGAGGAAAAAATTGGGTTGCAACTTTTTCTGTGTATTCAACCATCACATCTTTTTTCTTTTTGCAGAGTTTTAGATGCTACCTAAATAAGATCATTCAGCAAGTGAGTCAGACTCTTCAAAAGTGTCAGGGGTCTGAAGTTTTGCTTGAAAATATTTGAGATCAACCAAACAAAAATTAACATAAAAAAGAGCCATAAATATGAACATATGCACCTACATACATTTGTATATGATATAGAGTCAAACTTGTTTGAATAACTAGTGCTGAACATATCCCTGTTCACAATCCTTATCTTCTCTGGCAGTCAACATCAATTGCATGGACCATCAAAACTGTTTCTTTCCACTCTTCAGTCCCTTGGAAAAGAAGAAAAGGCTGGTTTTGACATGAACAATGTAATGTGGGAGCATCTGCCATTGCAGGATCATGTGTGGATCCAACTGTTTTCCCAGACCATATGACTATTACTTTAATGAGAAATGGGATGCTGAAGTGGGTTGACATGGAGAGGTGGCTGCTCAGTGAGAGTATTATGTGGCCTACACTTTGCAAAGTGAAGCAGCCTCTCCACATACATTAACCTCATGGTTATATGTGATTGGTGATATCATTTCAGAGCCTGCAATTAAGAAACTCAGATTGCCTAGTGGTTCTTGGACCTTAAAGCTTGAGAATGAAAAGGCAAACTTGAGTCATGATTTGGATAAATCTTGACTTGGAACTGATGTAGCTACAGAAAGAGATGTATCTTACAGAAAAGACCAAATCTGATGACCATATCTCCATTATGGATAAAGCTCCATGTGAATTATATGCAAAAAGGTTGGAAAGTGTTCATCAGCTTCACAAGGTTATCAAAACTAGGAAAGAGAATGTGGTAATCCAAACAGGCTGATAAAGCTGACATGATAAACTAAGGAAAAATAATATTTATAGTGATCAACAGATTGTTAGAGGACCAAGGAGCATTTTTTTTGGGAGAAAGAGAGCATAATAACAAAGATACTATGTCTGAAAAGAGCAGAAAATAAACCCTCCAAATCCAATTCAAACATAACATGCTGCTCCAATAATTTAATGCTCAACAGGGTCATCACAACATGAAAAAAAAATTCATTACAGCCCATTTTGGGCCTTGTAAAAACAACAGCAAGATGGAGATATTAAATCAAGATCAACAAACCCTGAACAACATTCAGAAGCAAGATCTTTTGATAGGAAACGATCATTCGATATTTCAGGTAGATGAGATTTCTAATGGTAATTTTCTGTAATATGTGAGGTGCCTTTCTCAGATCTTTCATCAGTCTTACCATCAAGATTCACAATCTGCAATTTAATATGCTTATATCTGCCTTTGTTTCCAATGAAGAAAGATCCACTTTCAAATGTTTCAGTACAAATATTGACTAAATATCATTAAAGATAAAATCTTCTTGACTAGGCAAGATCGTTCCTTTTCGATCTACCACATTTTGTTATGGGCTTTAGGCCACATAACTCACGTCATCATTTATCATCTTACAGCATTAATCACCAATGGACATCATGCCATTCATTATGAAGGTCAAGAACAAGCAAACTCTGTGCATGGCTTGCATAAAGAATGAGGAGAGACAGGGAGGTCCCTCAGTTGTTGGCACAGCAGTTTATTGTCCTTTGTTGGTGCAAGTTGTGTTAGAAAGTCATTTAGCTTTTTCCATGGTTGTTGGGACAGACCTCATAAGTGATTGGTAGATCGTGCTATCAAATCCATCCATCAATTACCACCAAATCCATCAAACTCTTCTGATGAACAGCTGATTTATGCCTCTTTCATGGACAAACTACTGTTCACTATTCTGAAAAGTAAGTTGGTCAATTTTTGAAAACTAATACCATCACTACGACAAAATGGGATGAACACATCATCTTTTACTTCATGCCAATAAACCTTTATTATATAAGAGATATTATTTCAATCATCATCCAAAATTATATACATATATATGGTAAATTTTTGAAATAACTTTTTTTTGTACCTAATATTTAGAATACGTCGGACTCGACAATCAGCTGCCTTTTTCTTTTTTCTTCCTTTCATTTTATTTTTTTTATGAACTGGTTCGAATCGATCCAATTGCAAGGTTTTTATACTAAATTAAAATATATATTTTTATAACATTAATAAAAAAAATATTATAATTAATCGGTTCGGTCCATAGAGAAAAAGAGGTAAAGAGGACAAGTTGCTAGGTTTATAAAAAAAAAAAAAACTTTTTTAAGGAAAACAAAAAAGAGATGTTGTTTTTAAAAGATCACCCTATAAAATATGTAATTTTGTATAAATAGATTGTAAGCTTTATAGATGCAAATAGTGTGACACAAAGCAAACCGCATCTCATTGTCGCTTACCGAGTATAGCCTGCTAAAAGTATTCACTCAATCCAAAAAAAAACCAAGCCATGAGTTCCATAGCATGTTCTTCTCGCTACCACTTGGAAATATGTGGAATTCGGAAACCCCACCTCCCCTACCGCTGTCATCATCTGCATGTCAAAGTTTCTTGTGCATTTATGAGAGAGGTTTTAGGTCAGTAGCTTGGGGACCTTCCACCTAAATAAAATTGATATGTGTCAAAATCCCTTCTGTTCCCTCGTCTTTTTCTCCCTAAATTGAGTTTATTTAATTCGCATAGGATTTGCACATTATAAACCTAATGAATCAAAGCTATAGCAACGGGAGAAATTGTCCGGTAGATGGATTAAAACATGACTAAACTCAAGTGCAAGTACAAGAAATTGTTTGGTAAAAATTTAATATGGTAAACCATCAAAGTAGAAATGATATTTAGAAATGAGAAGCCCACTCATGCATGTTGATGTGGGCTAATTATAAATCACTCTCGGTATTTGGATTTTATTAGTATCATGAGTCTTATACTTCAAAAAATTATATTTAGATTCTTGTTACTTTAAAAATAAAATAAATAATCTCATTTGCTCTAACGATGTCAATTGCATTAACAAAAAATATAATATATGATACTACATGTCGGATCAATATGAAAACGATGAGTAAAAAGATAATTTTAATATTATTTTTATTTTTGATGACTTTAGTAATAAAAAGATAATTTCAATATTTCACGTGTTAAAAATAAAAAAAATATTAAAATTATATTTTTGTCTATTATTTTCGCTCCGATTCAACGTGGTATATCACATATTATGTTTTCCATCGATGCAGTCGACAATGTTAAAGTAAATAAGATTATTTATTTTACTTTTATGACTATAGATATCCTAATATGAATTTTTTAAGTAGATCATAATTCTAATAGGATCAAAATATAAAAAATAATATGTAGTGAGTGTTCAATCTCAAATTTGATGATAAAATTAATTGATGAAGTTATAATCTAATCTTTCAGTAATATAAGACTAACTTTGATCATGAAAAGATAAATCGATTGAAGTATGAGAATCAGACATTGGACTAGAATGGATTATGTCAAAAGATTGGACATTGGACCGAAGGATCAACCGACGTGTTGGTAGAAGGACTTCATGCCATAAGTTCGGGTATCGGGCCAGAAGGATCAGACATTGCGTCAAGGATATCGGATGTTGCGGGAGGTCAACATGTCGATTGAGCAATACGTCGAAAGAGAGGACCAAGCGTGAAGGTTCAGACAAAGCACCAGATAAACCAATGACATGCCGGACAACACAGTATTCTTGTCTTGTAATTGGTCATGTCTTGATTGAAGTAGTTTATGTTGTAATTGAGTTGGTTTTAGGTGTAATAATACTAACTCAATTAGGGACCCATTGGGCTTAAGTCGAGACTGATTTAGGCTTATTGGGAGGCACATTCAGTGACTCAAAGTTGGGTTAGACGATGAAACTACCTATGAGCTAGAACGTATGAAGTGCACGGTTTCGAAAGACTCGACGATGATATCGCTAGTGTTAGGTGGTAGTATTGACCAAATCGACGGTGGTACCACTTAGACACAGTCTCCTAGATTGTCATGCAGTGGTAACGCCCAAACTTGGTAGTGGTACTACCAGTACATTGAGTGGCAGGCGGTGGTACTATCTAGTACTAGCGGTGGTACCGTTGGTACACCAAAAACTCGAGATAATATTTTTTTTTACTCTATTTTTGAAGTCATTTGGGGTTTATAAATACCTTACCCATTCTTGTTTAGCATAGCAAGAAAAAGTGTAGAAAGGGGAAAGAGTACATGAGAAAAAAAAAATTATAATCTCTCTTGAGTTAGTAAGTCTCTTCCTCGTAGAGTTAGAAGTTTTTTGAGTGAGGAGTGGGGTCTATTGTAAAAGAAATGTGTAAAGGTTCTCTTTTGAGCCTATGAAAAGAAAAAAGAGTTGTAAAGAGAATAGTTAGTCTTCATCCATTGAAAAAAAATCGTTAGTAAAAGCCGGTGGCCTCGACGGAAAAGGAATCGAGAGTGAATGTAGGTCGGGACAATTGAACCACTATAAACTTGGTGTATATTTTCTTTCTACTTTTCATTACCATTACTTGCTCTCTAATTTTAAACATAATTCCCATACGATTTCATCGGTCAAAAATTTTAAATCATCGTTTTTTTTTAAGTACTAACTCACCCACGTGTTATTTATGGTGCTAACAATAATAAGTACTTAAATAATAACAAGTAGGCATACACGAGTTTTGCATTATTCTTTATCAAGTCCAATTGATGGCAAATGAGCATGTCATAATGCGCTTCGAGCTACATTTCATGGGTCAAAACATACACCTAACTCTCCTTTCTTTCAATTTGGCTTTCCTACAAATGTGTAGTTAAACTGTTGTCCTCTAAAGTCGAACTTAACCTAAGAATTCTCTCTATCAACATCTATTCTCTATGAATCTTTAAACAATTGTTGCCCATTTTCAATGAACCAAACACAAGAATGAAGACCTTTTCCTTCGAGAAGTCCACTTTATTATGATGCGTTTTGGACAAAACAAACAGGCTTGAAAAGTATTGCATTACTTTTCTAGATCTTAGGGGGTTAGTAGTCCACTGCTTGGAAGATTCTCAATATGCCTATGAATGATGGAAATTTGTTTTAGCATATCCTCAATTATATGCACCAGAGAGTAACAATAATAACTATTAAGGAATCAATCAACATATTACTACAATAAGCTAAAGCTAGACCTAAGTTCATGATATTCTTATTGTGATTTCACTCTTAATAAATGAATACATATGTGCAAAGGGTAAACTTTGCTCCTAATGGAGTCATTTATAAGTTTCTCTAATATTTTTTAAGAAAGGAACTAAAATTGTAACTATAAAAATGTAACAAAAAACATAGTATATATATTTTCTAATTGCATTCATGTGCAGTAATGTCTAAAGGTTTCCAAGAATTTAGTTTGCAACTTCCTTTAGTAATCTTTAACTTCAAATTACTTTCCAAGAATGTCCAGTATTACACATTTGATAATTATTATGCTTCTCTCTTAGTTTCAGTTACATTTTTATAAAAAAATAATTACACTGATTTTGTTTATTTTGTGCTGTAATTTTGTAAGTACTATTGGATCCGAAAAATTCGATTATAAGAACTATTGCAAAGTCATGTTTTAAGGAAAATAAATTACTATATATAAATTACTAATATGTGTCATAGCCCATAGAACCATTTAAGGAAATATTCAGTCTATTGAGAAATAGATAATGATGAATCAGAGCAACTAAATCAAAATTTTTGGATGATCAAACTAGTCCATTTGGTTCTTATTTGAGGTTATTTTTTGGTTTTAATATCTTCTAATTCATTTTGGTATGGTCATTTTAGATCACTGGTCAATCAAATCAAATCTAGCTACTTAATTTAGATGCAAAAGAGTATGTTATATCAATTATATATAACATTCTTGCTCAAACACCTCTCTTTATCCTCCCCTTTTTTTTCTCTTTCCTTTCCCCACTTCCCTCAATCTCTCATAGGTTTTACCAAACCTCAAAACCCAAATCCTAACAATAAAAGGGTGAGCTGATAAAGACCTTGATGTGAAGTTGGGCTACACAATGATCAGTCCTCATTTCCATATTTATATTCAAATTTTGTTAGATTTTTCATGTAAATTCAAGAATTCCAATTCAATTTTTTTTATTTCATGTATGAATAGATTAATTAAAAGAAAGTAAAAGCAAAAGAAGGAGAGAGAGAGAGAGAGAGAGAGAGAGAGACCACCCTTGATGTACTTGTCAGTCAGTCAGGCAGCAGTCATTATGCCCCACTTGACTTTAGTTGGTGAGATGCTTTTGTTGCAGCAGTCCAATGTGTTGTGCAATGCATGACAACCGAACAACATCACAACCAGGCAAAGGGAGACACCAGCCATATGATCTTACAATGTGCCCTTTGGAGCTTCTGCTCTTCTGGACTGCATTATATGTAGCAGAACATACAGTGAAATCTCTGAAAAATCTTAATCATATCCATGCTCATACCATGTATAACATACCCTCAGCAACACAAAGTTTAATTTCCATGCATCCTAGTTCTTGACTCACTATGAAATTTGCCTGAAGAACAAGGGTTTCTTGGCACAGAAAAAATATACTGTTAATTTGCTGTGCCACCAAACATTGGAATATGACACAACATGCTACCAGTGAGTGGAGTGTGGTTGCCACTTGCCAGTCTTTCGAGATGCTGAAAAGCTTTATTTCTTTCTGGTTGGCTCTGAATTGTAGGTATTCTAACCCCAGTGGGAAGAAGGGAGGAAGAGGGAGGCCCTCCCAGTGCAGCCCTCCCTCACATGAGTTTCAGAGGAATGGGAAGTCATCATTGCTAAGGAACTGGTTATTTCCTGTCATGGGCCATTCATGATTTCAATGCATGTCACATCACACCTCAAAAGGCCACCCAATATATCCCAAAACCACATCTTTTTTAACCATTCCCACTTTAGTCAATCAATCAGCTGTGTTCAATATCATATTACTCACCTTTTCCCCCTGTGCCGGGTCTTCCACAACCTCCTCCTCATCTCCTCGTAGAACTGTGCCACACAGCTCTCTACATGAAGGCATGACTATAGCCATCGATACTTTTCCTTGGCGACAGATGAGTAGACAAGCAAGTAGGCAGAAACCACTTTGGCTGATTACTTGACATCGACATAGCAATCACAGACCTTTCTATGGCCTTATTAAATTCCTTTTGGGTGAGAGAGGGCATCGAGCTAGTGAGCCTTTCAATTCTTGTTCTTTAAGTTGACACTGCAAACACGTTTGTTGTCAGCGCTGTTGTTTATTAGGTTTGGACGGCATATCAGTGGAACCTCATGTGGAGTAATAGCTTCTAAAGAGGATATAGTATTTGCCTCGTAGGCTTTAATGGCTTGGAGGTGTTCCTGTTGTGGATTTCAAAGAATTCAGCGGCTACCAGTTCCTTAAATCTCGCCGGAAGACGCGCCCATCCCGTGCGCCGATCCTAGAGAAGTTTCGGAGGGTTGTGAGAGCAAGAACAAGGTAACATAATGATATGGAACCCATGAGATCTTTCTTACCTCATTTTGAGCTGCAACCGAGTCTGTAATCTACATCTCATCTCCATCTCCCTCCCTAGGGTTCTACGACAAGTATCAAAGAAGTACATGCATCACTGCGTCAATTAAAACCGGTCGAGAAATGAGATTTACTACAGACGTCCTCCCTAGCATTCAATGAGGTGGTAATCGGAAAACACAGGAGAAACCCTATTTACATACATGCAGATATTAGGAAAGAAGAAATGTGTTGGAACCACTATTATTAGTCATAGTGCTGAATAAGCAGGCATGAGCTCATTTCCTTCCTCCCCTTTGACTTGACACATCTCTTCTCTATCTCCTAATCGGAAGAACAAATCCATGAATCCACCATACCTTCGCCCCTCATCGCCGTAACGCCGTCTGTCACATTCTCCGCATTGAACTCCGACGAACTCGATCGGGAGTAGTTCGCCTTGTGATTACTGCTCACTCTTTGGTGTGAGCCAGAACTGTAGTTACCGATGAGGATCGGCCTTGGTGATGCTCGATCCCTGCCGCCGTCCTGTCCTGACACAGCAGAATGGACCGAGTGCGTGCCTTGGGATGCGGCAAGCCTCGTTGGGAGTCCGAGCTCGTTCAAAGCATAACCGGCGTGCCCTCTAGTTAGAGGTCTGGTGTCCAAGTCTGCTGGCATGGCAGGCAGGTTGCTCTTTGCATGAAGTGAAGGTTGGAGGAGCGAGTGGAACGTAAGGCTTGGGTTCAAAAGAGGGTGGCTTTGGCTACCGAGGCCAAGTGCAGACGAAGGTTGGAGGAGCGGTTGGATTGTAAGGCTTGGGTCGAGAAGATGTTGGTTTTGGCTAGCAAGGCCAAGTACAGACGAAGGTAGCTGGTAGCTATTGCTACTAGATGGATTGATGCTATTACTAGTAGTAGAATGGGCATTGGAGATAGTATTGCTAGTTGCAGCAATAGCATTGGAGATAGTAGCACTAGCATTAGCAGAGGAAGCAGAAGAGATGGGAACGAGAGAAGGGGACAGAACCTGTTGCATGAAGGGGCGAGGGAACAGGAAAGACGAGACTGGCGGCGGAGGGTCAGAGCAGGAACGGAAGGCAGTGGCAGAGTGGAAGAGGTCGAGACGAGCGCGGGCGAAGGAGGAGGACGGGGAGGCGGCGAAGGGAGGGGAGGGGATGCCGGTGAATTCTTGCACCATGGCGCGGAAGTTGGAGGTGTCGGTTGTGAGCACCGTCGTCGGGGCTCGCCGCGATGCCCTGGAACGTTTCTTGGAGCCCCGCGGCAGTGCGGTTGCGGCGGCGGCGACGTTTGACTGACCAAGTGGTTGCACCGACGAGGGACCCACGCTGACACCGAAGCCGACACCATGAGAGGCCATGGCGGCGGGGGAGTGGGGGAGGAGAGGGGTGGAGTCGATGCAGGAGAGGGAGTCAAGGAAGTGGTGGCTGCGGGGGTAGGAGGAAGAGGGTGGCGGTGCTGGTCGAAGGGCGGATGCAGCGCTAGCGGAGGTTGCAGTGGAGGAGTGGAAGAAGGCGGAAAAGGAGCCGGTGCGGGAATCAAACTCATCATCACCGCCTCCACCACTGGAGGAGTGAAGGCTGCTACTGTTGGCTGAGTCCATTAAGGGAAGAGAGGAGGAGACTATATTATATATGTTGGAGGGAAGAGAGATACAACAAGTGATTCAAGAGGAACAAGGAGAGAGGAAGACGAAGGTGATCATTCTAGGAATTGGGAAGAAAAGTTCAGCAGATCAAAAAGCAACCACTCCTGGAAGGAGTGGGAAAGAGATGGAAGAGAGGAGCGGTTAGAGAGAAAGAGAGAGAGAGAGTAAAGGCAGGGAGAGAGGGAGAGGAGAAATGTGGAAGGGAGGAGGAAGAAAAGGTGGAGTTGGTTCTTTGTAGCTTGTCTGTGTGGAAAAGAGGGGGCGGCTTGAGCTCACATTTCCACTTAAAAAGATCCTCCACGGATTGCAACCAGTAGGAGCTGCGTTATGGTCGGTCAAAGTAAGAGAGAGAGAGAGAGAGAGAGAGCATGCTTCAACACACATGTATAAATGGATCGAGAGAGAGAAAGAGAGAGAACATGCTTCAAACACATGTATAAATGGATCATAAACTAAAACTTGCGCCCACAATCACGTATGTAATCGTACGAGTCCATGAGGTATGAGGACACGTGGAGAGGTGACCAAGGCGAAGGACAAGATTTAGGTGCCACTTGATAGATCCATCATATTGCCACTCCACATATATTCTTCTTTTTTCTAAATCACCCCTTAGCATGTCCTTTTCTACTACATGTCTCCATCCTCTGCCAAATATCTCTTTAAAAATTCAAATATTGCTGGCTAATCTCTCTTCTCTATTGAAATTATTGAACATATAATGCACATGCTAATCATCCAACAACCTTAGAACCAAAGGGGAAAAACATGAATCACAAAGAATATATATATATATAGGAAAAAGCATAAATCACTATATATATATATGATGTTACAATATAATTTTTTAGTGAATCATTTACAATATCAATTAAAAAATATTACATTAAATGATATATAATATTATATGATATTGAATTTAAAATTAAGACTTATCGCTTGTGCAATAATATATTAATCAATTCGAATGTCTCAATATAATACTAAGATATTATATAATGACAGTAGTTAAATAGAAAAATATGGTGAAGTTTTTTATTCTGAAAATGGAAATCATAGAATAGACTTATAAACGGATTAAAAAATGACCAAGTCAAAAAAAAAAAAAAATCAAATCCGATTAGTATCTGTGTGATATGATAATTTAATTCCATGATCCAATTAATTAGTGATTTGATCCTACTATTGGATTTATAATCATACAGGACAAGGGCTTCCCTCCATAGATTTGTTTAGTATGTTGATCTGTAATTTATATTATCTTCACTGTTAATCTTCGAGAATGAGATTTTGGATTACAATTAATTCTTCCACACTTGGTCAGTAGAGAAACCCCAAAACCTATGTAGCATCGAACACAAAATTAGGAAGAAGAAATCTGCCTATCGATTAGTTTCTCTTCCCAAAACGCTAGTGATGTTCGTTCGACCCAATCAATTCATCATCCAAGTCCCCATCAACACAACGTCACGTAGCCCACCCCACCTCCATCCATCTCAAGTTAGGTCCACGTCCAAATCCCTTCATACGAATTGGATTCCCCCTGTGGTGATGCACGCCACACTGTGCTATGTTGCTTGTGACAAGTAGGTGCCATGGGGGGTGGGGCCTGGTGGGGCATGGATGATGTGGTTCACAATGGAAGGACAAACACCAGCTTGCAAGTAGAAGCTCACGTACCTCATCATCATACTTGCATGGGAAGAGAAGTTGGATTTGTACACTGCATCGGTCTGACCATGACTGTCACCAATATTACAATCCCAATTCGTTGATCACGTTGATCGATTGGTGCTCGAGGAACGGACGGCGGACTTGTATGCAAATGATGTTTCTCTTTCTTCTGAAACATGCTTACCTTATGTTGTTGACTACAATTCTTTTGTTTCCTTTGGATTTGTGCACATATAGTGAGAATTGAACGTCGTTGTAACTTAAAACCTTAGGTTGATAGAATACATGTCGACGCGAGTATATCTACTCTAATTTTACTTCTTATTCTCATATGTCCTAATATAGTCTAGTAAAATCTTGATCTTATTATATCCACATAAGATGTTTCTATGTACAAGTAGCTGAAGGGCACACTTGATGTACAGAAAAAAAAACAAAACCCATATTCTCATGTTCTCCTCATTGAATCAAAATCTCAAAGTCAGTGTCAGTGATTGAAGATTAATTGCTTGGAGTGCTTGAATTGTCACATTGATAGGCATGCATCATAATTGTTCATAGGTAGATGGAAATTTCTTGAGGAAGAAGTAACAACCAACTCTATTGCCCCAGTCTCAAGGCATTTGACTAGCTGCATGTAACTTCTCTCCCAAGAGGGAAGGTAACAAAGGATCAATCAGTAATTGCAGAGCTTCTACATGTGAGAATGATAAAGATATCCCATGTTCCTATAGGCCTTGTCATTACATAGCTTTTTGTGTAGGTTTCAACTCCATTTGTAGTGTTTACTGGTTCTGGGACGGACAAGGTTGAGTGAGAGGCCAAGTGGAAGAGCATTGTGGTGCTCTACTACTAGTTAGGATGATAGAAGCTCCACTAACCTTCAATTATAGTGCACTTATTATAGGTTTCTAGACTATTAGTAAGTACTGATGGTTCCACCAGATCTGATGCCGGGACATTTTTGGATAGCCCATCCTAGACTTTGTCTTCTTTTGTTTTTAATCCTGAAATAAGTTTCAGATTAGGGTTTTCATGATGATTGATGATAATTAAATTGATTTTTTATTTTTTCTTGTAGAGTTCCAACCAAAGTTTTCAGTACCTATATTATAGTAATCTTGTTGTATATTTTGGAGTCTTCAGCTTCTCTCTCTCTCTCTCTGGTGGTGCAAATCCAATTTAAGAAGGAAAATTTGGTGATCTTATGTTAACTAAAACTTTTCCTCATTACAACTCTTCAGATCACCTGTGCTTTTTCCTTTTTTTAATTTTTTTGTAATTATTATGCCTTGTAGAAAAAAGCTGGCTGGTAATTCCTCCCCATAAATTCCAAAATATATGTAATCTATGACTTGTTGAAACTTCATGAACTGTATGCAGAAATCAGCAGTTGATGCAGCTTAACTTTGGTTTGCTTCAGGTTATCACTGTTCAGTAGGGGGCAGCAGTCTATTGACAGCAAGTACTGCTTGCCTACTAAACAAATACAAATTCTTGATACAAGAAGTATTAAGCATTTTGGTGCTACATAATAGTCTAATGAAGTACATAAAATATGTCAACTCATCTTATCCTAAGTTTGCCACTTAACAGATCCAAGATGAACCAAAGTTCTTAAGGAACTTGGTCATGAGAACCTTACAGGGGATTTTGGCACCAAGGTAAGAGCTCATCTTATCTGAGCTTAATGAATTGCTTACTTCAGTCTATTCATCTTAATCTACTCAATTCACAGTTGCATATCCATATCTACTTTTGATGAGATGGTTATTTGGACCAAGACACAAAGATCATCTATATATTAGTTTTGATCAAGTAATAGTCAACTTCAGAACAGAAAGAGTCATCACAAGACTTCAAAACTGAAGGTTTCCTCTTCAGAATCCTTGAATATGTTTGTGTCAATTTGGGCGTGTGATTAGTACCTTTTCCATGGTTGCATCCATGGAGGCATAGAAAGAAACTGACCATGTCAGATAGAGAGAATTCCTTCTTCGACTGTATGGTAGATCAACTAAATATGCTTTGCTATCAAGATTCTTTCTTTACGACATAATCGATGACTATTAGAACAATGGAAAGACTCTCTTTACCTACAAACCTACAATTGCATTCATGCTTCTCTATGCAAAAGTAAAAGAAGAGAAAGATCATTGACCTTGGATTGCACAAGGTACAAGCATGTTAATGGCCTTCGAAGCATGATGTCAATCCAGCTTGTAAAGCTCATAAAAGCCAGATCTACTGAAGCTCATAAAAGCATGATATGACTCCAGCTTCTAAAGCTCATAAAAGCTAAGCCCCGCTGAAGCTCATGAAAGCTTGATCTAACTCCGTCATGTTGCTGTCAGATTTCAACAAATTCATTGTTGGGTTCAGCCATAATTAGGCTTAGACTGAGTCCAAATCATCAGTTATTAAAAAAAAAAAAGTGAAGTCGTGTGCTGTGTCAGAGTTAAAAATAATAATAATAAGATTTTGAGACTTTTTATTAGATGATTAAGTGATTAAATTTTATTAATTTAACTTAAATTTTATGTGAAGAATTCTTGTAATAAGTTTTATAATTTTAATGATGATTTATCCTCCCTGAGATATATTTTGATATACTCATTTGATAAGACTTAAATCTTCTATTGTGATTCTCTAATTATTTTGAAGAAGACTTATTGTACTCCTATTATTATTATGGTTTCATGGTTTTTTTCTGTATTTGATTTTTCATATAAAAATTTAGTATTTTACTTTGTGATTTATTTATTATTCTATTATTCATGCTACTCTAGTTAACATTTGTTTTTGGTAACAAGTTGGTATTTTGGTGAGGAACTTATTTTGATATACAAAGAGGAAAAAGAATTATTCTGTTGAAATAATTTTTCCCAACAAAGTGGTATCAGATTATCAAGTTGTTTGGTGCTAGTTTTTCCTTGTGTGATTGAAATGAAAAAGTCTATCAGTATAATTAAATTAAATTCATCAAATTATTCCACTCGAAGACGTATGATGAAAGATTTACTTTACTGTAAAGATTTATATAAGCTCATCAAAATAAAAAAAAAAACCTTCTACTACGAAAGATGAGGAAATGTGACGTAGAAAAGCTATTGCCTATATTAGAAGATAGATGGATGTAAATTCGTGTGAGCATATTTCTGATGAAACGAGAGCTGATGTTGTTTAACAAATATTAGCAAATCTATTTACGAAAAAGATAGCGAGAAATATAATTTTTCTCCTTAAGGCTTGTTAATTTAAAGTATAAAGATTGTGATAACATTGTTGAGTACATAAGTTTATTTCAAAAGTCTTACAAATAAGTTGATTGCTATGAAAATAAATATACATAATGAGATGCAAGGATTGTTATTTCTCAACTATTTACCGGAAAGTTGAGAAACATTTATGGTCACAATTTCTAACTTCACGCTAGAGGGGATTATAACCATAGACATGATTAAAGATAATTTGTTAAATGAATATACTAGAAGGAAAAAACAAGAAGAATCTTCTTCTAGTGTACTTGTTATTGAAAAATAAGAAAGATATGAAAGAAGTCATAGTAGAAATCTATATAGTTATAGAGGAAGATCCAAGTCTAGGAGAGATATCAAGTATTTTCATTATAACAGGCCAAGTTACATGAAGAAAGAGTGTAGG